TTACATGCAAACCTGCCTAATTACCGGATATTTAACGTGCATCACACTAATATCAAAATCAGGAAATAAATTGGCAAACAATTAAAGAGCAAGCACTGATACATCAACAAATTATTTATTCAACTCTACACTGGAGAAAATAATGGTTCTGTCCTCCGTAACCATTACCTTCCTAGCGGCATTGTCTGCTGCCTCTCCAAGAAAAAAGTTTAGAGATGCCCCGCCGGCGTGAGGAAATTTTAACTTCTTTTGGAACTTCGTTATATGACTTTTATGCATATATCTGATATCCCTAAAGCGACTGATCCACTCAATATTTGTGAATGCTTTACCAACGTGTAACACATGCATCATGGTCCTGTACAAGGCTCGCCGGTAATCAAAGCTGCTATCTATCAATGCAGCAATCATCGGTCAAGATATTCTCGACGTATTTTGGGGGGACGACAAATAATATTCATACTGTAATTAAAATTGTATAAGAACATAAACCACCAAGATGGTGGATTTAGATATAAATTAATTAATTTTTATCATATATGTCTGTGATTATACAGTAGTAAATCACACCGTCACATTGCGAAACTCCGGTGAAAATACCGAACAGAATAGAAAGGGAACGTTGCAACACTATATATGATACAATTTTATTCCTGTATATACGAGACACAAATTGTTCAGTTAAAGTTTTTGATATTCTATTGGCAAATTTTAACTCAGTTGGTGCTGGACGCGACCAGGAAAGCTATTAAAAATTACAAAAACACTAGTCACATTACATTGAGAATTGTAAAACCGATTCAGCTACGCTTTGCAGATATCAATGTAATCCGCCAAGGCCTCAAAAACAAACGAGCTCGTGCTTCACCTCTCATTACCAGGCATTCTTCGCGGACTTTCATCAAATGCTTCAATTTATTTCCAAAAGCGACAGATGTAATGTTTTCATGCGTCAACGATTGCGATCACTTTAAAAAAAATTATTTTAGGCGCCGTGAAAAACTAGAGCCTTTAATTACTTATATTTTGAAATTGCGTTGATTTCCTTGTTAAGATAGTTCTTTACAGATTATTCTTCATTACAATTCTTTCTATAACTCTATCGATTTGGATGCATAATTTATTCTCCCCACTCACACACAGATTAAATTGTTATGATATTTTTATGACAATCATTTCGTGAAACTTTTATGGTTATATATATTGATATATAAAATATTCTATAACACGAGATATTAATGTAACATTCGACCCCAGACCTGGAGACAAATAATGCATTTATAACAAAGAAGGGCGTGAAAAACTATGTTCGTGCCGCAATGTTTTCGTCGTCTCTGAAAAAAACTTTGTCCTTTGCTCGAGTGAAGCAGTGAACGAGAGACCGAGAACATCGCGGTGTGCGTATAGTGAAGCGCCGGAAGCAACTCCTTGTTTTTCTTCGATTATTTTGCATAAAATGAATCGGCGAACTTTTAAATTCTACAAAGCACAGTGAGAATTCTTGGTAGAATTTAAGTGAGAAATTCTATTAGTGTGAGGAGTATTCTCTCAGTGAGAAGTTTAAAACTTAACCATCACACGTGTGTTTTCACAACATAATCAAAATCAACACAATTATCAATTTTCATAACACAATCAAAATCATGTTGTAGCGGGCCACCCATGGCCGCGCTATTAGTTTTCTTCAGTCGCCGCACCTCTTCAACAGAGACTGAAGAGAAAAAGTAGGCGTATAGGTAGTTTTATCGGGAACAGCGGATTGCTAGTAAGCAGCCTACCATTGCCTGACCTACCGCGCTTTGTAATGATTGTAAATATCTGTAATTTATGTCCATATAATGTCTGTATTCGTAAACCTATATGCATTTAGTGATAATCCTCTGTCGTGGATGCCGGTTTTCCTTGAAATTTAGGTAAACCTTATGGCCCTAAAAAGTTTAAGGATCAGTTTTAATTAATCCTCGTACGTTAGGGCCCGCTTGCAGAGACCCAGTAACATTGATGTATGGAGCTTAGTTCTCCCCTACAATGTTTCTTGCTTTTGGATATAATTCTTTAATTATCTGCTGGTACATTATCCATGTTCTATGCTGTATAACCTTTTGTCCTGGTAGATATTAAAATAGCATAATTAGACAAAGGGTCATATTAGGAGTATATGGAAGTAAATACTCGCAGCGATCCTGAATGCCTGATAGATGTCGCTTAATCCAATAATTCAATATATCAAATTATGATTCTTTTGTTAAACAATTAGGAGGCAATGATTGATAATAGAATTTGGCTAGTATAATACTGTAAATAAAATTTATGGCTTGAATTATGCTGAATTGAATGAATACAATGCGCAAATGAATTGCTTACCCGGCCATTACCAAATTTAGAGGCGTGCGCGACCCTGCATTAGGGTCCGCCTAGGACTCGGGGAGCACGTAAATCAGCTTCTCTATTTCCGCTTCGGCTGAAGGTTCGATGGGCAGCCTCTGGGCAGCTGGTTAGCTCGGTATAACTCGGCTCAGCCAACCCTTGATGTACTCTCAGGCGAATATAAAGTCGGAAAGGAGATTCTGACCAGAAACTGATTTCAATCTGGTGGCCTAGAAGACCCAGGGTAACTTTGAGCCGAGCGTAGAGACCAATTGGCCGAAGCATATGCGGTCCGCGAATTTTGTTAGGAAAGTACCTAAGTGATATGGTAATAAACGATATGGTAATAAACGATATGGTATATAAACGCAGGTATGGTAATAAACGATAGTTTTATAGCAAGTTTGTGACAGGCCTTCTTCAGTCTAACTCTAAAACTATCGTTTATACGCTGTTACTCATATAGACTAACATGATGTTATCAAGATAACAAATCAATGCCGTTATCACATCAAACCTGCCTGACAAGCGACAGTGCACGCAGTAACACGACTTAAGAATTATGTGATCGCTTTTTGAAAATAAATTCTTGCCTGCACAATACCACTATCAATATATATTTAATTAGCAATTAACCAATAAGTTCATATTATAGCTAGGTCTGTGTGTTAGAGCACCTTCGAATTTTTATTGTAGTGTCTGCGCATTTACAGTACAGTAGTACAGTAGTTTGTATATATAAAGTTTAACATCAAGAATAAAACTGTACTTGAAAAAGAAAGATAAGGTGAAAACCGACACACAATAATTGCATGGTTCGTATTTCATTTTCCTTCTAGAGTGCTTCTGTGTTTTTATAAGAGTTGAATAATTTATTTCATTGTCATTTTAACAGCAATAGATGGAAAACCTGCAAGAAAAACATGTTCTATGACCTGGATTCTCCCATCACGTTTTTCCCCTTGATCCTACTTAGAGTTTTGCGCTGTGCCTTCCAAACCTCACAGAGCCTCTCTCCTCATAGCAACTAAGCTGCGTCCTCCATTCAATCCATGGACACGCGTAGCTGCCAGAGGCGGATTAGACAAGTAAATATTGATGTCGGCGCTGAAGAATTGGCCTGATGAAACGAAATCATCAAAAAATTTGAGCGTTTCTTGAAATTTATCACAATTCTAATTTAGAGGTAAAAGTTATCGCGTTTATCGAAATAATTACGATCCATTAACAACAACAAACTTACTAAAATAAAAATATTTGAACGCATCTAAAACAATAATATAATGAGTTAAACCCGGTTACATTCCGGCAATACTTTCGTCAATGGAAGATTGTTTGCTCTTCTTTCAAAACTGTGCTCTGCATGTTTAATTCAACATCCGACCAATAATAAAATCATTCTAGCATTATAGCGAGTAAAGAATGCATTCTTACGTACATATTTTTTCTCTCAGGTGCTGTACAGTTAACCCGATAACGGTTGTCATGGCCCCGGCGTCAGCGTTGCCAGATGGTATATTTCTATACCAGATTTCACAAATCTGGTATTTTCAGAAGGTGTCTGGTATGAATATTTTAGATCTGGTATATATGCCTAAATCTGGTATTTTTCTGGTATTTTCTGACTTACTACAAATTTACTGCATTAAAGTTCCACTTCTGAAGTTTGAACTTCCTCCAGCGTAGGCGTGGATTATATAGATTGCCTTCAGAGTGGCGCGATTAGAGCTTTCCCGCCATTTTTGGAACCGCAAGTTTACCGCTTGATGAAATAACCCTAATCTAATTGTTAACATTTAACTAAAGTGCTTAATGCAATATGAACACGAGAGTGATGATCCTTGATTGATTACTGATCAGTGATGATCTGGCCTAGGACGAGTGAGGTTGTCGAACCGATCTCTGCGACGCAAGCTCCACCATTTTTGTTTGGTGGTTTGATCGAATTATAGAGTGCCACTGAATTTGGGGGTGCTATACAATATTTCACTGATCTTGAAAATCATCATCCATTCATAGAACTGGCTGCCTACTGCACCACGTGTCTACTTTGACCAGGTCTCCAATGCATTCGTGGAGTGAATGTTTTCACAAGTCATCTATGTGAAAAACAAGTAACGAAATAAAATTTCAACTAAGGTACTGCAGTCCCTTATTCGGACCAAAAGCTATCTGCTCAGCCGTAACAAGTGATCAAACCCGAAATGTTAGATTAATGCAATATGCAAGCATGTATGAAAATGGAAGATGACCTGTTTCCGGAGCTTGCTCATGTTGAGCGAAGGGGAAGAAGTGCCACACTGATAAATGCACAGTGCATAAAATACTTTTTAGCGCATTTTCTCATTTACGATAAAAATGCACTATTGTCCTCGCCATGTCCGTCCGTCTATCCGTCCGTGACCACGTTCCCGTCGACGAGACAATGCACTCTCTGTCAGTCACTGCAGTGAGTACTGAGTTATATATATTTTTTCTTTTTCTAACTAACGTTTCTGACGAATAGTTTCATTAAATTTGGAGGTATTAGTCAGTTTTCGTACAATAGAATTTCTGGTATATTTCTGGTATTTTGAGCTAGGCAATCTGGTATTCTCGCAGAGAAAAAAACTGGCAACACTGCCCGGCGTGGACGCGTAGCAGTGCCCATCTGTGCGTGTGAGTGAGAGCATCGCATTGTCATGGCAGGTCTGTTGGTGCGACACACTCTCCTAATCACCATACAATTTTTTATACACGTTTATATTTCAATCGTTATCTTTTAAATTTATGTGCCTATATATAATTATCTACCAATTACGCTTCATTTCATTCAAAATCTCAAGATATTCTTTAATAACATAACACTTCATGTCAGGTAAACCGTATCTTCTTCATATGCACGGCAGGCATTAACAAGAAACCTGGCAAGTTACGAGCTGGCATAATTTGCTGTTACTTTATCTCATTAAGAAAGCTTCACTGTTACCAAAATATCAGGCTTCCTATCTATTGATGATTCAATTTGTGTTCATATTGATTCAAACTAAGGTTAAAAGATCCCGTCACTCGAAATACTTCTACAAGCAGCACCATGGAAGTAATGCGTTTTTTACATCAATATTTTGGTGCAAATGTTTATTGCTGTTAGTGATGAAAGAGTGCGGTGCAACACCAGTATTAGACACGCCTAATCTTACAGATTTTATTATATTTCTTTGTATATAAAAAAAATGGATGACATGACGAATGCATTCCAGATAACATCCTTAAGGCAAAGTGAGCAAATTCCTCGCTTGAGCATCAACATCGAATTTCAAAAATCCTACATTTAAAGACTCGACCCAAAACACTATATCGTAAAGTTGAAATTTAACCAGAGGTCTAAAAATATAAGCCATTTGCATTTCTAGGAGCCAAAAAGCGTTTATTTTATGGAATAAGTTCCTGCTCCACATAACCGCGCAGCTCCTCTTGATGGCGCAAGTCATTTCTCCTCGATCAGAAGTCACGCACTTACTGGAAAAACATTAATAAAACGCTTCTTGCTTTGCATGATGTCGTTGATATAACGGTCAGAATATCTAAAGAGGTAAATTATTATAAGATTCCTTATGAAATGCATTCATTTATTTACGTATACTTAACCAGTTACGACTACGTTTCTCCGTTGCACCAACCTCCACCTTTACAAGGCTGTAAAGGTGGAGAATATATAATCATTCATTGCCTCGGCGCGCATGGATTTTACCTCGCATCCAAACACACAATGTAGAAGGAGCTTTAAATATTGTCATTCGTCGCAAACAAATTCAATTGTGGTTCTTTTCTACGTAGGAGTAGATGATAAGTAGAGGCTAAGACTCTTATTCGCAATTCAAGCATTTTCAAATCATCCTACGAACTCGTTTCTTTTAAAAACATTTTGATGCATTTTATCCCTAATGAAGCTAATTGAGGTGCACTTTTAGTTTTAAGCCGCTTGCACATGTACAACTCCTGTCTCTTAGTTAAGCACCCGCTGCAAAATAATAGTTTATAAATGAGCGGCTGACTCAATTTTTATTATTTAAAGGAATAAATGTTGTTATTCTATTTATAAACATTAGATTCCTCCTAATACTGTTTTGGTCGGTAATACAAATTTACTCATTGCATTCAATCTGTAGCACCACTTATTTCACAATCATAATGTAAAGCGGGGGATTTTACAAAATGTAAATATATTTGTTTACTATAGTCACCACTATTATGCTAGGGAATTAATTAGCAATTTGCTGACTCTGAATATTGCAAAAAAATAAAGATTTGGAGATGAAAGTCTTTCCATTTACGTTATTTCAGTGGCAATTATTCAGCTTATCTATTATCGTAAATGGGCATTATCCGAATTCAGTTGTTCGTAAACATCAATTTATTAGTACATAATAGGATTCATTACATTTCATTTATTCCATCTGAATTCATTAAATTTGAATTCAGTATTATATTTTCAAATTTTTTCTGAGCGAAGTGATACATTTGTTTATAATACACCTCTTTACCGTCCGTGCTTGTCTTTTGTCATGCTAAAAATTTTCACTAATTATGAAAAAATGATAATACGGAATTTACATAGAAGTGCTATAAAAATGTTATACATTAAACACTAAAAAACTTTTCCGATGAATTGTTTTTTTTAATTTAAATCACTGTGCATTAAGTGTATCATTTTTTTCAGAAATCAAGTTTGAAGAACTACAAGAAGGAGTGAAGGCGAAGTGTTTCACTTTGATTGATTTGCGTAAGCCTGAAGAGTTGGCGGAGACGGGCAAGCTTCCAGGAGCGCACTGCTTGCCAGGTGCACACGGAGCATTTAATAATTCAGACAAATGTCAATTAATTTTAAAAATTATCTTTCATCTGCACACTAACTAAAATAGACTCTATTCGCAGAAGCTGTAGTATTCAACTTTTCTACGACATTTACCGATCACAAAAATTCTAATAATTTTGAGTTACCGTACTATATACTGTACATTCTATTTGGGGGAATAAATGCATTTTTTTAGTGGGTGCGGGCTCTATCCAGTAACCAAATTACCTAAAGACATTAAGCTTGAATAAACCAATAATCCTTCACCGCCCCTCAGTACAAGAGCTTGAGGAGGCTCTCTCCCTCGACGGAGAAGCCTTCAGGCACAAATATGGATTCACTAAGCCAGCCGCGAGCGGTGACGCCAAGCCGCTGGTGTGGTACTGTAGGTCGGGGCGGCGGGTGGGTGTAGCTCAGGAGACACTGGCGCGTCTGGGCTACACTGGGCACAGGTCGGTTACTCTATTGGACGTGTGAACAGGAGGGATAATAACCTTAATGTCGCATGGAATATCCGTCATTTTCATGCATTTTTGTCTCTCCTTTCGTTCTTAATCGTGTATTCTTGTTATTGATTAATCGTTTCCTCTATTTCATTCGACATTCCGATAATATTTGCAAGAATTGTTATGATTAAAAGTGAATTCATATAAAATTCGTATTGCTGAACTCATGCAATCGACTTATCAGGTGTGAGCGTAAATTTTGTTCAATTTTTGATGCACCTAAAAGTATTTCGCGAAGAATAATACTTCGATATTAATCTTTATTATTGGCGCTTTCATTCATTCGCCAATGAAGATTTTGCAACAAAAACTTAACTGATTGAATAATAACTAAGTGATGATGCAAAGAATTAATATAAGGTTAAAAAATCATATCGTCGTGGTAAATTGAAAAGAAAATTCTTGTTCTGCTGAAATGTACATTTCTGTGCCTGCCATGTCTGCCAAAATTCAAATATTAATAAATGGGAGAGACATATTACTGGAAAGCCAGCCTTATTGGACAATCGGGGTCTTTTGTTTGAAAAACATGGACAAAAATCTGGTGCAGTTTTTTCCTCGAGGCTTCGTTGCTCAGCGGTAATTTGCCACACGAAGTGCTGGGAACGATAACAAGGTGGGCGCGTTTTTTTTTGCTTCTCATTAATCTTTATAAATTTTAATACGAAGCTTTCGACAGTGTAAACGCACTAGTTATTGTTCATTCAACAAGATAAAATGCTCAAATCAAGGATCGAGGTGAATAATTATATATGATAAGCGTTCATTTGCTGGCGTGGCAGGGAGAATTGGCATTGTCTTTGGATTCAAGCAATATCCTCATCGCTATAAATTATACGTTTAACTTCCTATTTCAAAATAATAAAATTGGAAACATATGTATAATGCAATGACTTTGACAGAACAATTTTCACTACTTTCGAATAATGACAATACCGATTATGGTACAGTGAGAAATTATTGAACCTTGTCTTTCAATGGTAACTCGTATTTCCTGCCTACAGTTTCGGCTAAAATCTAGGACGGATAATGTATTCGTAGGCAGACAAATATTGGGCTCAGCGCGCTTATTTATTTTGGCAGCATTTATCTGTAATCTATCGAAGACGTGTACTTAGGTCTGGACAGAAATTTCATTATTAAGCTTAAGATACATAACATCCATTGATTTTTGTTAAGTAAACCAATAAATTTTATTAACTGAACAATAGCATGATTACGTAAACGGGAAAAGGTATCTTTGTTTTTCAGTAGAGCATTACGAATGGGTTTGCACCTCCAAATTTTACTTATCTTTTGATTCTCATGATCTGTGAGAAATTGTTAGTTTTCTTTGCCGCGTAGCCCTTGGCAGCTTGGACAACCATTCATGAGGAGCAAGAAAACATCAGCAATGAAAATGAAGAATCCATTCTTCATGGTTTCTTTCCATCGTATTGCTGAATTCAGAAAAAAATGTATTGCCAAAAACATAAATACGCCCGTCTGTGGATATATTGCAGTGAAAAAAAACTTAGTGTAGATTTTCTTGTGCAGTTGCTCGAACCTTTATTGCCTTCTTTGACTTTCTTTTGTAGAAAAAATTAAGCGTGATGCAAGTATTCTAATGATAATAAAATACAAATTGAATCAGGACACTGATTGTCGTGGATTAAAACTCGAGGTTAAATTAATTGTGATTAATTTATTTCTTTTTATGTTAATTTTACCCTCATTTTCAGACTTTACTTCGGCTCGTTCCAAGACTGGAGCAGCAATGGCGGCCCCGTGGACAAGTGCTGCTAATATGAAGAGATAGAAACGAGAATGTCTAACGACATTGACATCTCTGGGTGAAAGACATCCGATGTCATATCGATATCATTATCAGAGCAAATTAAGAATTACGCTTTAATTTATATCTTATGTGACAAATTTATGATTTAAGTAGAATCTTAGCTCGAATGCGGTCGTCTTAAATATTTTACCAGAAATCATTATGATGTTCCGGTTAATATCATTAACTGCAAGTTACTAATCATGTCAATACGACCATATACGCTGCCAGAAAATACCACGAGTACTCAATTCTTCTATAAAATGAAATATATACAATATATTGATGCGGCAGCTGATAGGCCCGACAACATTCCAAGGACCATTTTCTCCTTGCAATCCATTGCTCTACACTGCAACTATAACTAACGTGAAGCCATCAGTTCCTGCAAGAATGGGTCCGTTTACAGAGAATAAAATACTGCATTGTTCTGTGACTAATTACTTATCCACTACAAAGAAGATTGTTGAGAAATTTTAGCTCTCAAGTCTCTGCACGTGGGCAATGAAGAACAAGAAAATTATTACAGATAAATACTCTGGCCCTAGACTCTGAACGAAAGGATCAAGCGGAAGAGAGTATTCAAACAGCTGCAAAATATCCATTCAAATAGTTAACATCCGTCCATTAAAATTTATGCATCATCACATAACATTTCCCCTTCTCTTGCATAAACAATGATAGATATTTATTTTCTTCTTGTCAAAATCATTCCTACAGACTTGAAATTGTCGTAATCATCCGCCTAGAACCAAAATCGGAATTTAAAGTTCCACATTTTTCTGACTTCATCTGACGTTCAGAAATTATTTCCATTGTTAGTTGTAGATTCACAGACAGTTGATCTGACATCTTACTTATAAAATTTATTCTATCCTTAAATGCTGGACATGTATGGCATCAAAGTTGAATACTTGAAAAAATTCAGCAAAGTTCTTTCCGTGAGCTGGAAAAAATAATCTCAAGATCTCCTGATGTATTTTTGAGCGTCATTTTTTGCGTCCCTTTGATCTCTTTCTTAAACGAACGTTGCATCCCAACGCGAAATTTTAAGTAGAATTCCATTCAAGGAGCTAACGAACAACAAGATAGAAGCGAGAGTGTGTTGGGTTCAGGGTTAATCAGTATTTTATCACGTTATAACGTTGCTAGGCGGTTTTATAATCAGCTTATCTGTGTTATCTGTGTCAGATTTAATTTGATAATACCTTTTCGACAGAGCTAAAGTTTTCATAGCTTTTAAGGCAGCATGAATCAACATTCAATAAAATTCGATGTGACTGCTCAGAAATTTATTAGAAGCTCAGCAAATTGCAGGCACATTTGGTTCATAAGATGCATCATGAAGTTGCGGCGAACTAGCTCATTAAGCCAGCCTGACTTACCGCATCATAAAGTTGCGGTGAACTCGCTCATTAAGCCAGCCTGACTTACCGCATCATAAAGTTGCGGTAAACTCGCTCATTGAGCCAACTTGACTTACCGCATCATAAAGTTGAGGTGTACTCGCTCATTAAGCCAGCCTGACTTACCGCATCATAAAGTTGCGGTGAACTCGCTCATTAAGCCAGCCTGACATACCGCATCATAAAAGTTTCTCGTTTTTACGCTCATTAGGCAAGGCAAGTACGTTGAGGACTCCTGACTGAAGGACCCTCAAGTGCGCTGCTGAGACGCTGTAGAGGGGCTGATCAGCCTTACCCCGCACCCGCAGACCGCACTTCACTTGCCGGGTGACTTCCTGGGCAAGAAAAATAATTACCGGCCTTCGTTAAATCGGGTTTTCAGGAACCGTCTTAGTTTCGTCCTTGTGAGCACCTTGTCGATATGTCGACCAACGTACTAATTGAAAGTTTATTTAAATGCGTTATTGTTATGAATATTAGACGTCCAAGAAAGCAAATACGAAATAATTTGACCGCTGAAATTTATTTTTAACGATTTTATTTTTAACTGAAAGTATAAGACCTGCATAATAACTACATTAGAGCCTTATGATCCAGGAAATGGTTGACAGTAATTATAAATCCATCAGTAATGAGAAATAAACGAATAGTTTATTTCAAAAGTAGCGAGTATCTCGTAAAAGACATGGGCTTACATAGCCGGATAATATGTACCTCAACCGCAATGCGCGGGAAAAAAATTACAGGAAGAACGGACTTTTTCTCAAGTGCCAATCGGATGAGCCTATTATTTGAAATTTTAATTTATTTTGGAATTTTTACAAACAACATCATAGTGCCTTTTTTCGCCATTAAATGCAGTCAGTCAAAAAGTTGTGAAGTGGAAATTTTCATAGGCATGGTGAAGCGAAGCAGCTGAAAAATAATGTCGGTATTATAATTTGTGTTTGCATTAGAACTTTAGGACGCTAACTCACCGCAGCTGCGAACTTTCGAGCGAAATGATGTCGCCTGACCTCAATGAATAACGAAAAAAAAATTTAAAAATAACACTGCGAAGAGTGACTACATAGAACTTCTACAAACATATCGCGTTTCGGATGATTTAAAGTTTAATAATTTTTAGATTATTTTTTTGATTAAAAAATTTTAATACAGTGAGTCAAAGTACCTATACCTACACACTCGCTTTAAAATCTCATTTAACATTCCTTATGCTTTTCACTTTACCAAAATGAAACATTTATTCTGTAGTACCTCATTTGGGTTCTCCACGTCAGCTTTGGCACAACATAGGAGATAGATCGCGCACTCCCACAGAATACTTTATTACAGCAGCAGCAATCAGTATGTACAAATAAGATATCGATCAGAAGGAGACTTCCGACGAGGATGAGAGAGTAACGTCAACCTCCCTTAATACCTAAAATAACTCGTCCCTAGTAAGTTCCGGTCCGCAATACATATACTACCGTAATGTTGGGATACCGCTATTTTGTCATAACAAATTCCTCACATATTCAAAACTTACAGTTTCAAAACATTATTGAATTAGTGATTTGGCTGAGTGAATAAATGTATTAATTAGTTAATTTTCGCAGCAAGGATTCTTGAAATTATTTTTAAAATGAACAATGCCATGGTTGCTGGCTGATTAGGCCAATAGATGTGCAGACATTGCAAGTTTTGAAATTAAAGTAAATTGTCGATACCAAAGACTGAAGAATCCTAGCCATGGTGTGAACCGGGTCAAAAAAGTCTGACAATTGAACTTCACGCGACTCGCATGGCTCTTTTATCTCAATTATGTATTACTCGAAACTTGATGGTTTACTTGATATCACCGTTGATCTATCAAAAAATATGATTTAGATTAATTAATTATCGGTTTAATATATCCAGCATTTTTTAATGTCCGAGATGCCAATGACGCTACTTCACTTGTTGGGGCGAAAGGCAACACGAGCTGTGTTCCCAGATGCAGATCTTAATCATGTAACTTTTGCTTGCATCTTGAGGCATCTAAAACCTTTTCATTCAACACCATTTTATTCCTAGGTAAATGATAAACGATCCTTTTATCTAGAAATAGTTGTTTTGCAATTTTGAAGGCGAAAAGTTCGAAAAGTTTTTCGTAACATAGCACAATTGTTCTTCAGCCATGCGAGAGGTAAATGATTCAAGCACGACCCAGCTAAGAATAAAATTCTTTAGAATATTTACACAAAATCATAGAAATGAGAATATTTGTCTCTTTCACGAGCGTACAGCACCATGAAAGTGTGAACTTCTGCTAACTGTAAACGTAAGGCAGGACCGACGTACAGAGTAACCGAAACCCAAGGAAAGGGACCTCTGCGACACTGTGGTCTTCGCACAGTGTGGTCTTCGCGCAGTGTGGTCATCGCATATATTGCAGAGAGGTCTTCTTGCAACCTCTCGCGGTCCCTCCTGTCCGTTATGGTCATTAGTATCCTGGTGTCGTCCGCGAATGACGATGCAGTGGCGTGGTTCACAGCCACATCTATGTCGACGATGTGGATGATGAAGAGGATTGGGCCGAGTACCGTTCCCTGTGGTACTCCACTCTTCACCCTAGCCATGCTCGATCTCGAGCCTCCTACTACGACAGCTTGCAGTCAGTGTGGCCCTCGCACAGTGTGGTCCTCACACAGTGCGGTCCTCACACAGTGTGGTCCTCACACAGTGTGGTCCTCGCACAGTGTGGTCCTCACACAGTGTGGTCCTCGCACAGTGTGGTCCTCGCACAGTGTGGTCCTCGCACAGTGTGGTCCTCGCACAGTGTGGTCTTCGCACAGTGTGTTGTGGTCCTCGCACAGTGTGATCCTCGCACAGTGTGGTCCTCACACAGTGTGGTCCTCCCACAGTGTTGTCCTCACACATTGTGGTCCTCGCACACTGTGGTCCTCGCACAGTGTGGTCCTCACACAGTGTGGTCCTTCCACAGTGTGGTCCTCCCAGAGTGTGGTCATCCTACAGTGTGGTCCTCGCACAGTGTGGTCCTCACACAGTGTGGTCCTCCCACAGTGTGGTCCTCCCACAGTGTGGTCCTCACACAGTGTGGTCCTAACACAGTGTGGTTCTCGCACAGTGTGGTAATGGCTGATAATGAGCATTTTGATTCCTTGTCCAGCAAGTGAATAATATCAGTAGATTTTATTAATATGCGGTAGATAAGATAGCTGTCCGAACTCAGATCTGATAACACTTTCCTAGGCTTTACTTCTATCAATGATGCATTACTTATCTTAAGTTATCAATTTCCAAATAAATCACGCTAAGTTTATGTAAGATTAGCATTCGTTGTAGATTGCATTATCATCATTGACGTGGGAGTCGGAAAGTAGAAGAAAATAAAATTTTAGTTAGCCACAAACTCAATTTTCTTTCTGAGAGAAGATTTAGAGGAGAAACTACATTAAAGTTCTTGCTCCTCTCAAAACCACGAGAATGTCTTTAGTCAATCTCGGTCGTTCTCAATTGATTGCAATTGAATGATTCAAGACCTAATATGACTTTAATTTAATGTAGCGAAGCAAGTTATTCAGTACTTTTTAGACTCCAGACTATGCCTAAGTACTGGGTATAAACCATACGCCTAAGTTATGAGTATCAACCATACATTGGGGCACTAATCGGCATCGCACCTGGGAGGCTGGGGTCACTAAGCCCGCCTGCTGTACCAAATACCTCCGAGGAGGAACCTAACACACTTAGGCTTAGGAGCACCAACCACACTTGGGTGTCTTACTACCAACATGGTTAGGTCATCAACACCTGAGACACTCTAAAGTCTTCGGCTGCTTTACTGTTGTTTCAACCGTGCTGCTCGTGAGTGATGATCTGTGAACAAAGGTTGATTTGGTTGATTTTTCGAACGAGTACCACCGTTGGCTGAACGCCTCAAAGAAATCCACTGTTTTGCCGTTATTACTTCTAGGAAATTCGGCCATGACGTGGCAGCTGGCTTCACGCGGCTTCTAACACAGAGTTAGGGAACGTTGCTAGGGAACGCCTTCGAATAATAATTTCATCACTAGCGTGGTTAAGTGAACTGTCATTTCAGTTTTTGAGTGAACTATTACGTTATCTCATGTAGACCCGCCATGTACCTCGTCATTGCTATGTGATCCACCACAGAGCGATGCTCCGAACCTGTGACATGATTAAGAATTAATAGGCAAGGGCTAGCAAGACACACGGTTTATGTTATGTTTTCTAGTATTTATCGTTCATTTATTATAATGGTGTTTCATTTTTAATTTCATTCATATTTTATTTACGATCACTGGTCTAATTTCTGGCGACACTGAAAGCTTGTTTATTGAATAGTCAGAGCTGGGCCTCGCTACTTTGAAATGTAGCGGGCTACATGCTCTAAATGTAGCGGGCGCTACCGCTACAATTGCTTAAATGTAGCACCGCTCCCGCTACCGCTACTGAAAATGTAGCGCCCGCGTAGCGCGCTACTGCCCACCTCTGGTAACAACTAACATCTTGTCACTAGTAACAGGCTGAGGTTGACAACATTACAACGAAATCTTTCATACAGTTTTATTCTTTTTAATATTATCTATGTATCGTGCTGGTTTTTAAATAATATTTAATACTATTAAGTAAAATCTAAAGGCTTTATCTATAAATGTAGCGGTTGCGCTGTAGCGGCAAAACCTCGTATTGCTACTTAAACATGTAGCAGGCGCTTTCGCTACAATTGCTTACATGTAGCGCCGCTACCGCTACCGCTCCTGAAAATGTAGCGGCCGCTAGTAGCTGCCGCTATATGTAGCGCGCTACTGCCCACCTCTGTGATTAGTCCCCATTAACAGGAGCGCAGTACAACGCACCTCTCACTTCTAAGGTTGCATCATCACCGTAGGGTTGCAGTTAGCCTTTACTCCGGACCGACGGCTGCAGGTTTAAGCACTTTAAGTCAGATTCTCTGTTTCAATCCCTGTTGATACTCTATTGATCACAGAATAAGATAAACACCTGCTGTTTCGAGCGATTTTTTTACAATTGATTTTAGTATTTTGGGGATGAATAGAGATTTGCGAGCGATATGTTGGAGACAAATAAAACGGAATTTGTTTCACATTTTCCTCCTTAGAAGCCAGTTTCCTAGGGATCGTTCGAGTTACCTACTTGTACGTACTATTTACTAAATGTCGTATGCAAAACGGTAATGTGTACTTGAATTTTTAGATTTTATTTAAAGTGTTATACGAGTCTCATATTGTTATATTATTCTTCCCGAGCATTTTGATAAAACTTACTTGACGGCGTAAGGCAATAAAATCACATTATTACAAAGATATTTTACTTAATAATGGTCAACATCAAATGTTATCTGCTCTAGTGCATAGGATTCAAACTTCTCAGTTGGCTAATACGTGGCACGTCAACGTTAGGAAAGGAAATTGCAGCGCTCTATGCAGCGCAACGAGCTCAAGCATTAACAGGAAATTTTCTAAAGAATTTGTATTTCTTGCTTAGTATTGCTTCTACACGAGTATAACGTGTGTTTTTTTATACAAATCTCGAGTTTGAAAATGAATACATTGATAAATTCATATGTGAGTTTTAATCGTAGTTTCGTTCATGAATTATCTATTCTAATTTGTTATGGATTTAAGATCAACGTTAGCATATATGAATGATTTTATTTAACTGAGAAAAATTACACTAACGCATAAACTACCGAATGATAAATCAGTACATTGAAGTTTAGGTGTATTAGGTGAATTACTTCAAGCATAAGTGCGCGATTCCGGGGTTTGATTTGTCAGTTCTCTTGGATTAAACATTTCTAAGGGATTCAGTCGCTTCTTGTCGGTTTCGAACATTAATTTAATATTTAACTAACTTTTATACTTCTTAGTCAACCCGACAGACGAACTTGCCAAACTTTATTTTTAACCGCAGAATTTCTCGAGTGAATGTCTATTGCATAACACTAACAAATGGAACTGAAAAGTACTAATTAGAAGCAGCTGCTAGTTTATTCTAAATAAATCTTATAAATAGTAACAGTAACTTACACTTTAGTGATTGAAACGTCATTATCGCTTCATGTTGCGGCATCATACATCACCGTTTGATAATATATATTGTTTGTAATGTTATTGCTCTGTTGATGCACTTAAATTATAACTGAATGTTAACGGCAACATCCCAATAAATTTTTAGTTTAAATATAGATAATTATCCAGAAACATTTTTACCTTCTCAATTTATTGCATTTGTAATAATTCTATTGGAATGAAGAAGGCGATTTTCTCAAACACATAACAACGATAGAATATTCTTCTCGGAAACAGTACAGCATCGATTCATTAAATAGAGAAATACGCTTACTTCAATACACTCCCAAATATCCATATAGAACAACAATAACCTCTCAACAACAACAATTAAACATTCAATAAAGCTATAGATTAAAGAGAACAGCATAAAATTTTTTACAGATCTAACACAGAGAAGACGCGTCAGCGACTGCGTTACGGGTGTTGGACGTTCGGTATAGTTAAGATCAATATATTTGTTCACGACGTTCAGAATTAGCGCATTTAACACGACTTTTGTAAATGTTCAGCACAAAGGAACATCATGACATAAGACGTCATGCTTTTGTTGCGTTCAGCACACATGACGTCATGCTTGTGTTGCGTTCAGCACACATGACGTCATGCTTGCGTTGCGTTCTGCACACATGACGTTATACTTGTATACATTCAGTGCTCTGTCTCGGCCGCTGTACAGCCTCCGTCATACATTTGGAACTTGTTCAGTTGTAACGCGGTCAAAATGAGTTGTCAAGTGAATTTTATAAGTTGATGTTAACATTGCCAATGTATTCCCACGCTTGGGCGTTGAAAGGTTAACCATGCTAGTCAATAAGGGACATCAAATGTGAGGACAACGGATTATCTAGATAATTGCAGCTACAATTCAAATTCATGTGCATAATTAAAGCTATAATAACTGCGTAGCGACTGCCGGGGCAGTTCTCAACTTTCAAGGCATTACTCTCTATTTAGTGCTGCTACTTAGGCTCATTATTACGCATATTTTTCCTATGAAATTTTAGTCGGCGAACATTCGGTCAGCCATGAAATGAATACGTTGATGAAAAATTTCCTGCAAGTTCTCTTAATTGCCTGTTTTATTTACCTAGCATTTGCCGTTCTTTGATTTAAGCCTCGCTTTTTTAAGGCAATTCAGCCAGATGTCAATTCGTGATTACTAAAAGTTAAATTATTAACAATAATTTTTTATTTTCGTTCACGAGATAAATTCCTTTTTTGTACTGCGAGGCATTGGCTAGGCAGCAGCCAAATTCTTATAAGATGGAAGAATTTGTATCGAAATGTGCATTATATTTTCCTGGTGAACCGATGTGTTTTTATTAAATCAAGTAAAACATACAAATAATATTCTGAGAATTTTTATCCACGAAACAATATCATTGGGAATGATATTTTTTCTTTGTTTTCTATACTTTTGTTCACCAAGTCATGTTCGCTCGCATATCGCCACCGCATGGCACAGGCCACACCACTTCCTTTTCTCGCCTTATTCTTCATGGCATGTCACAATGTTTTATTGCAGTCTCAGTAACATTGAATACCTCTTCCCTTATTAAATATCATATCGTTTCATTATATTCTTACATCATTCCATTCGGCACGCAATTTCATAACCGTACCTCACAAGTTTTTCCCACGGCTCCCCTAATTTTGGAAGTTGAAGATAGGTCGCCTGAAGATAGCGTTTGTGTTCATGGCCGTCTTGGGACAATTACTTTCCCTAATTAAGGGGTGCTGATGTACGTATTAATTTAGTATTCAGCAATTTTTATGAAATCTCGTGACTACTCAAACTGGATGTTATGAGTGAATCTAAAAATTAATTAAAATTTCCATCTTTCATAATTCCGAGTCATAGACGCTCCATCGCTATAAAAAGTAATCCAAAAATGAACGAACCGGGATATGGCTGGTTCATTCTTCGTATCGGTCTCGGCGGTTAACAACTGAAGCATAATTAATAAAAATGGAGATCCTTACTCGTGGTAGGTGGTGCAGTAAACAAATTAGTTGCTGCGGGAGTCGAGGAGCGTCTTCATGTCATCAAGAGCCCTCTCGAGGCTACGCCCAAAGTCCAGGGTCGAGGTGCTCTCGCAGGAATTGAAGGCTGAGAGGCAGAAGACGATGGTCTCGGGATGAGGGTTGTACGAGGCGCCGTAGCCGTCAGGACAGACTGGACCGTACCCCATCCACGAGTCCGACAGTGTGGGCACCTGTATAAATTGTGAGATGAAGGTGGAAATGATCGTTGTTCAAACACAGTATGGTGTATGATAGTGAACAAATAAGACTTAGCGGTATTAGTTTGATAGTTAATCGTTGTATCACGGAACAAATTTAAATAAAACCATGTCTCGAGATAAATTTGATACTATTTTGTAATATTAATCCGCTCTAATTGTGTGATATTAATCTGCTTTATTAATCTGCTTTAATTAACACACTCGTCGTAAGCAAAAAGCATCGATATCGATTCGCCTTGCCTGGCTAGTGGAGAGCCTGAAATGGTTGGCAACTTGGTACGAGGAATGACTGAATATCTCAGGAGTTGGAAGACTCATTTCCTTGGCGACTTCTCTAAGGCCCAGAAGGTGATTATCAATTCCCCGACCCAGGATATTGTTCACCATAATTTCCGTCTGGATCTCGAGGGCTGTTTTGAACTTGGCCAAGCGGTCCGATGCCTGCGTGGAAAAACCGTGACCATCACGATGCAGTTTATAAATTTTAAAACTCAGTTATTAAAGCCAAAATGTTTAGTCAAGTCAAATAGATTTGGAGTTTGGTGTCGTTATCCGATTGGCATCGTTGATTCAACGAATGTCATCATTCAACCTTCTTGCATCACAATAATCACCTGGCTTTTCATAACTGGGATAAAAAACATTTTCACAGTCACATAATTGTCATAAACTGATTCGTACGCTTTGATGACTGCACTTGTTGCTGTAATGAGTATGTAATTAGACTAGACACCTCACCTCAACACCTCAACACAAGCATGGCGTCAACAACTAAAGTAAAATCGATCAGAATAATACATGAAAAATTCGTTATCCGATGACGCATCAAAAGTAAGGTGCCAAAATCAGCAGCGACTGCGAAACACAAAAATGTTGATAGATATTTTCTCTCGAAAAAAAATTACAAAATTTACGAATCTTTGTTAATATTATAACCGAAGACATAGCGGCAGTTAAACATTTCAATGTAGGAAATATCGTCACCGGAGGAGCAGTAACTAATAAGATCATCGACAGGATCGACACTCAGCGAAACAGTGACTATAAATCAATGCAGTGCAGCTAAGCATTACCTCTGAAGAGAAGGCACTACCTCATCATTGCAATGTTGCTCGGTATCATTATTTGAAGAAGAGGTAACTATAGATCACTGCAATGTTTCTAAGCATCATCGCGGGAAGATGAAGATCATTAAAACATTATTAAGCACCACCACTTGAAGAAGAGGTAACCTGCCTCACACCAGACGAGCGCCTCAGGAGTGTTGGCGCGGATGACGTCCACGCGTCCGTGACGGAAACGACGGATGCTCGCCGACTCGTAGGTGCTCGTAAGATGACTCTGCGTCCTGGTTAAACAAAAACAGCAAATCTTTATCCTGACGGTAACACTTATTGTTCATGTCAAGCTAATGATAATTTGCACTGTTTCTCAGGTATAAGCATACACAATTATTTGTAATAATCATCTAGAGGACAGTAGTCTAAGATTGCAAGATAGTAATTATCTGATGGCTATTAAATTAAAAAATATTGCAATTATTTCAAGTGAAAGAATTCGCGTGAATGTTCGAAAAAATTTCCCCGCGTGCATGACGTCATAACTCATAACCTCGTCAGTTATTCTACGAACTTTTCACGGTAAATTGTAAGTTGAAAGTTCATTTCATTGAGCCAAATATTTGTATAGCTATAAGCTCGTCCAGAGTTTCAATGAAGACAACTGAGCAAATACCTGAAGTAAGCGAGCTGGAGGGCAAGCTGTATGAAGGCATCGGGAGAACATTTGTTCTTCTTCATATAATTGCGACCGAAGCCAGTGTAGCGCAGTATCCTAAAGTCCAGGTCCTCCACCAACCTGAAATCGAAAAAAATCACGGTGAAAAAAGAAAATATTCCTTGAATTTTGTATCGAACTCTATTACAAATGCAAGATTTTTAATGAGCTTATACATTAACGTTTGAGGTAGCTTCGATAATAATTCCGTTAACATCTGTCCGCATCCGCAACAGTTTTATTGACCGAAAAGCTCGTTTCAATTTGCCAATCCAACGACCATCTGCCTACAATAACATCATTTTTTCATCGTAATGCTCGTTTTAAGTAATCAAATGCACCGAGTTTTTCCTCCGTCATCACCTGTCAACATTGGCCGCCGCCTCTTCAATGCGACGTGTGATAACTGGCGTGACCTTCCACTCGAGCTTCTTCAGCTGACGGTCCTCTAACGCCGCCGTTGTCTCCGGAGCCTTGGCCTCGGCTTCGTCAGCGATGGCCTCGAGAGGCGTAGTCTCCGACGCCTCACTGAGCTGGTGCAGCACCTGCTCCACCAGCTGGATCACGACGATGCCCTCAGCTGGCGAATGTTCGTAACAAAGCCCGCACCATCCGTCTTGGGTCACCACGAACTGAAAATTGCATGACTTTGATGTATTGTTTCTTGCGGAGTTTACAATGAAGAGAGAATACAGCAATTGGACATGAACGAATTTTGAATTAGAGTTTTTTACTCGGCAAATGTGGGAATTATTTTGATACTAAATGTCAGTAACATTCAAAATGCAGAACTGGTGGCTCCTCAAGCCAGTGCGAATATGTAAAAGTTTTCAGTTGATCTTTCATAGAATGTTAACAGAAATACTTTTCTTCTGAAAAGTTAAGAAAAGACAGAGTAGAAAAATAACCAGGTGTTAATGGAAATATTATGTTTAGCTGCATGAAGGGAATTCAATACGTTTAAGTCAATATTCAATTATACAATCAACATCGTAGTCGACGTTGTTACTGCATTCTTCTTTCACTCTTGGGCCGTTTTTCGGTCAGCAAATTCTGCTATAGCTTTTACATTCCCGTCTGTTACATTACCAAAGGTAGTCTTCGATATTATAAATCACAATTAGAAGTTCAATCCCTTGTTCCTTCTCAAGTTTCTTTTTCATTCACGTTCTACACATTCAAATCAATCTACTACGCGGCACAGCTCACCTGAATGGTTTTATCAAACCACCTGTTGCCGGAATTGTGGAGGGATCCTCCTCCGTGCAGCATCTGATGGCCTGCGTTTACTTCATCCCTCAGAGACTCCTGACAACCGAACAAATTTCACTTAAGGAAATTTGTGGGATGAGGAAATTTCTCACTTTAACATATGTAGATCAAAGACTGTGTAACCGTTTGTAATCCTTTGGTACAGGGAACATTTTCGACGCTGCAAATAATGATCTTCACTGATCAATGCAATGAATTCTAGGCAATTCAAGTAAGAAATTCCTGAAAGAAATTCCTGAATTCAAGAAAGAATGTTCCAGTATTAAATAACACAGGACTCTTATGATAATTTTAAGTGTATACCACTATCAAATCGATTAAACCAAAAATTAAATAAAGCCATTGAGTAAGAAATAAAGCATTGAGACACACCATAGTTTTCTCCAGCTGGGGCGGCTGAGCGCCTGCAGTGAAGCTGCTCTGGCGCTTCGAAAGCGTCGCCTTGTGGCTCGTGCGCGTCGTCAGGTTGAAGCGAGACGACAGGGGCTCGTCTATGCTCAGCACCAACGTACTGCTTTCCAGCACCTTCAGGTTACTCAGGTTGCTCGGATCTATCATGGGAAAAATGAAAAGAAGTTTAAGTTTATCTGCCTGTTTTTAAAAGCTTATTTGAAGCTTTGATGCTTGGTATCAAAAATATATGAATTAATTATTCAAGCGCTTAGCGATAGTACCAATCGTATCGTAGATATTACATGGTTATGAAATATTTTAGTTGACAGTCGCACAGCATGGAAGTACGGTGGTTGTAACTTCTAAATGAGCATTAAATTTCGAAGCTGACGTTATATGTGAGCGTTCATTTTTTGCGCCGTTTGTAACAGGTGTTACTCAAATTCAATTTTGAATAAAAACTGTTATTTTACTATAATTAGAGTGCTGATAGGAGCCATGACCAAGCAGGGGCGATTCTACATCAACAATAGTGAAGTATAGTAATACATTTCAAATAACCTTCAAACCTTTGAATGACTTTCACTTTGAATAATTCATATAATATTTGCGTTATCTCAGTTTAATTTGGCATGCAGGTTCAACATCGCTGCGTTTCTTCACCGCTGACAAGAATTTGTCTGTTTTGAGCCCAGGTGCGTCGGTTGTCTGCGGTCATGATGCCTATGGCCGGAGGATCAGGCCCTTCGTACTCCTCGACCTCCTGCATCAGCAGCTGCAGCTGCTTCTGCAGATCCTCAGTTGTCATGAGCACCCCTGCCACCACCACGTCTATGCGAAACATCTGTCAAGGCATCACTTTTTTGAGAGTCCAATTTTTGATGCCTACGCCAATTACTTGCATAGTCATAACATAGACATCAATATGGTCACAATGTGTAGGTGTGCTAGAACTGCAGATAAGACTTCGATGCGGTTTGGCACTGAGCATGTTCGATGCGGTTTGGCACTGAGCATTCTACACATAATACGTACGTGATTCCTCATGAAGACAACGATGTGTTGGTTGGCGAGGGACACATCGGCGTAGGAGATAAGTTTGTCCCGGGGAATGCCAGGTCGGCGATGAGAAGTGAAGACCCGCGAGTACTGCTGCATGCACATCGGCTGGTGCCGCTCACGCGCCGAGCAGCGGTCCACGTCCAGGTCACCACTGCGAACAAATGCTCAATTTGCTCATGTCGACGAGCAGCCATCGTGGGCATTCGTTATCCTAGCACGTTAAGTGCGACACGACCCAGCCATGGAGCGCTTATAAAAATTCAGAATATTTAGAGAAGCAAAAAATTTTTTAATTTAACTGTATATCACAGTCGTGTTGATGTCACGAATAAAGGTTTGAAATAATAGAAAATGAGTTAAAGCATATTTATAATTTCCATTTGCAAGGTTTTAAATTGCCAATCCAAACAGCCGCACCAGCGGGCAGTCGGCAGTTTCGGCCTCCGCACTTAACGTGCTAGCACAGAAGTTTCCTTTTGAAGCTCGAGGCTCTATTTTGACATCACTAACAAATTCTATCTATATAAGACTTTTTCCACTCGTCGCAAGACGCCTAGTAGTAAATGTTTTTGTTTCATGATTGAAATAAATATCAGCATAGAACTATTTGATGCAAGTTGCTAAGCACTAACATGTAGATGCGCTCCTTCATTTCCAGCGCAGCCGTCACCAGCCGGGCCGCGAAGAGCGTCATGTCAGCCGGCGACTGGAAGTGCTGCAGCGGGAACACCATCCCAGGGCTGCTGTTCACCGGCAGCGCCAGCGGTACACTCATGTACATGTCGTCCAGCCACCACTCGTACATCTGAATATAGATTAGATTATCTTATATTAATGTTACCTCATATAATATATTCATAATTTAATAATAGTCATCCGTTTAGCGCTTACGCCTCAATGCATTGCATGTCCTTTAAATGGTAATTTCGTGAGAACATTGACATCGTATCACGTTAGTCAGTACATGAACCGTGCAAACATGATATCCGTTCAATGAGATTCGTGCTTATTATTTATTTAATACTTTGTACAATATGCGCCCAAGCAGACGTAAATACATCCAACTACTTCCCACACTTACATTAAACTCGAATGTGCATGAATGTGTTGCTGTATTAAAGGTTACTGTACAGTGTACGCGCATTTAAAACTGATGGAACAGTTCCCACATTTCATTTCCGCTTTAGTTGCCGCATTCAGTTTTACTGGAGTGGAAAATTGCCGCATTGCATTTGCACACGTGTTTTTTTTTTTGCGCGCGGGTGCTAGATTCTGCTTTGAAACTTGAAAGCATTTCGCTACAAAATCTTCAGCCTCAAAGCGAAGCTGCGTATCGTATCCCTTCATACAGACAATTTTTCTGCTGAACGGAAATGATATGAAGTCAGTAGGTGCAAAAAAATTACTTTGTGAAAGTGATATTAATGTTAAATTTTGTTGATGACAACCGAGCTATTCATCTTCTGCCATTGATATAATATTAAAATTGAATGCGTTGAGCAGATTACCCAGTTATCCATTGTGTCGTGCCGTTTGATGAGCTCTTCTTGAAGCTTTTCGCCGAGTCCCCCCGGCTTGCCGAACTCATTCACGATGACCTCGACCTCGCGGTGCTGCTGCTCAGTGAGCACGCACTGCAGGTGCTTCAGGTACCACGTGAGCGTGTGGCCCAGGGCAGGTACTGGCAACTTGGGCACTAGCGGGTACTGCAAGCATCAACGGGTGAGAGGATGTCAACATTATTCACCAATCACCTCATCAAATCACCCAACACCACAAAAAATGTCTCCGAGGTTGTTGCTCGGCTACTTGTGATGATGAGGCTGTGGTTCCATCTCGGTTGCTATGTTTCGTCGTTGACCGTCTTTGTTTTCTTTTTGGCAATTCAACGCTCTGTAAATTCCTTTGTTGCTGTGTTATATGTATAACTTAACTGTGTAAAAAATGTTTTCGTCATTGATTTGACAAAGCAACCATGACAAATTATCGTCCGTGATTGCGACTTTTCCAAATTCGACATTTTGTTGCTGTTTTGTATCCATAGATTTTGTCATCAGCCGTAGTTCCACCATTAATTTATTATTCAAGACCACTTTTTTAGTTTGCAATTCCACACTCACATCTGAAATCTATCTTCACCATGAAAAAAACGCATAAGAAGGCGTTAAAATGGTAGCAACGTCATTAATTTTTGCTTGGTTTCTACTGGAATTTTCTTGCAATATCCTTTACCCTTTGAATAGTAAGAATATATAGCATTAAGGTTTAATATCAATTACCATATTGATAATGAGAAAACTGGCAAATATATCATACTCTCACCTCTTTATTCAAGAAAAATGAAAGATAGAATTACCGAGTTTAATCAACAAAAAAGTGTTTAAAATAAATTAAAAACGCTAGACGGAAGAAAGACGCAGTCTACAAGCAGCGAGATGCTTTAAATGTGAACTTAATTTTAGAAACACTCATGTCACTCCTGGCAGTCCAGCTGGCCTGTCATCCTGCGAGTCCAGGACCAGCAGCGCTAATGTACTCTTTCTTAACCGACTGCGAATTTAATCCTCCAGTAATGCTACTCGAGAACATAGTCGATGTTTCTCGACTCATGTTCCACAACATCCTATATTAATTCGATTAAAAATTCGTTCTCAATAATCACGTTTATAAGGATTCCATTCCAGTAATATTTATTGTAACTCACGACGGCAGGTGTGGCCTCCGACATGTTGGAGGCCTTGGAGGACGTACGAGATCTGGCCTGGAATGGACGGGGAGGCTGGGGGGAGATGGGCAGCGGTCCTGCCCCGTCCAGGGGCGTGCCGCGGGGAGATCCTCTTGGGGACGCCTTAGGGGACGTCGGCTGGGACAGGCCAGCAGGTGGTCCCGACCACGACACCCAGCGAGACAGGTAACCTGCATAGTCAAGAGGTATCCTGCGTAGTCAAGAGGTAACCTACATAATCAAGGGGTAACCTGCATAAGCAAGGGGTAACCTGCATAGTCAAGAGGTAACCTGCATATTCAAGAGGTAACCTGTTTAATAGAAGCAACCTGTATAATCAATCATCAATATTTGTATCACCGTAATCTGTATATCGATCACCAATATATTGGCAGTTTTATTATAATGGAATATATTGATATTTTGGTTTCATTTCCTCAATGCGAGCATTTTCTAGCTCCACTTCTAATTCTGTTTGCGATGCCAATGTAGTCGGATTTTCAGTCCTCTTTCGAAATCACATGTCAGACATATCCGAGTTTAGGGTGAATATTTTACATCTAAAGTGCAGCATCGACAACATTATTTTCAAATAACCTCATATGAACGAATCCTAGCTTCTTCTAGATGAAATTTTGCTATTTAACGTGGGCAATTTTGATGCCTATTATTTAAAAACGTCAAGTATTGTCGCGCTTATTTTGTTGTCAGCAATCGGGTTTATTTCTTGTCTACAACATGACAAAATAAATTGTGACATTAATAATACAACAACAATAATATTTCTTAAACTTATTTTTTTACAACATTTGAAATTTATTCCGTTGTAATTTTAATTTCGANCATTGCTAATTCAGTTTACGATGCCAATGTATTCGGATTCTCAGTCATCTTTCAAAATCATATGTTGGACGTATTCGAGTTTTGCGTAAACATTTGCAAATAACCTCCATGAAACGAATCCTAGCGGTTTCTGGAGAAAATTTATTTATTTAAATTAAAATTTTCTACCTATTGTTTAACAGCCGTCAAAAATTGTCGCGGTTATTTTGTTGTCAGCAATCAGGTTTCTTTCTTCTCTACAACATGACAATATATATATATTGAAATTAAAAGAGCAACAACAATAAGGTCACGCTATACTCATAAGTTCCCACGCTTTACTCATAAGTTCCCACGCTATACTCATAAGTTCCCACGCTATTCTCATAAGTTCCCACGCTATACCCAGATGTCCCGATGCTCGTAATTTTCCCAATTCGTCCAGAAGAGGCCGCCTTCTGCTCCAGCACCGGCGGCTGAGGCTCTGCCATTATTGCTCATCACGAAGGAATTGTCTCATAACAAAAAAGATTAGGACTTCTAATCTAAGGAAACTTAATTTTAATTTTATATTCTTTCATTAAAAAATCAATTCAAGGATTTTTCAGGTAACTTTAAGCTAGCTTTGAAAGTTTTTATTAACATATCGATTGTATATTGATTCTATGTTGAGTCAGGCAATAGTAAACCAGGTTTTATAGTTTTCATGAGCAAATTTATTCTATGTTGATATAAGCAACGGCGAATTAACTTTGAAATTTTTTATCAACATATTAATTCGATTGAATTCGGGTGACTTCGAACTAACTTTGAAAGTTTGGTTAACATGTTAATTCCTTGTTGATTCACCACGCATAATAAATACAGATTGAATGAATTCTTTTAAATATAAATTATAACTATTTATCTCCTGCACCACGAGTTCCCGATTCTGATCCTCTATTTGTCGGTTAAGTTCCCACGCTATACTCATAAGTTCCCACGCTATACTCATAAGTTCCCACGCTATACCCAGGTGTCCCGATGCTCGTAATTTTCCCAATTTGTCCAGAAGAGGCCGCCTTCTGCTCCAGCACCGGCGGCTGAGGCTCTGCCATTATTGCTGATCTCGAAGGAATTGTCCCAAAACAAAAAAAAATAGGACTACTGGTCTAAGGAAATTTGATTTTAATTTTATATTCTCTCATTAACAAATAAATTTAATGGTTTTTCACGTAACTTTAAACTAGCTTTGAAAGTTTTAATTAACATATCGATTGTATGTTGATTCTATGTTGAGTCAGGCAATAGTAAACTGGATTTTATAGTTTTCATGAGCAAATTTATTCTATGTTGATATAAAAAACGGTGAACTAACTTTGAAATTTTTTATCAACATATTAATTCGATATAATTCGGGTGACTTCGAACTAACTTTGAAATTTTGGTTAACATGTTAATTCCTTGTTGATTCACCACGCGTAATAAATACAGATTGAATGAATTCTTTTAAATATAAATTATAACTATTTATCTCCTGCACCACGAGTTCCCGATTCTGATCCTCTATTTATCGGAGTTAATTAAGCTGGTATACTATTATAGTTCTAGGAAGCTTGACAACTATCGAGGAGCAATGGAAATTATATTTTTTCTGCATGGGTTAATGAATAAAAAATTTCAATTCATTTTGTTTAATAAAAAAAAATATTACGTTCACTTTGTCTCATTTCTACGTTGCTGTTGGTTACGAAAATTTTGAAGTTCTGTTGGTTTCAACGTTGCAGTTACAAAGCTATCAACGGAATACACGGAAGCAGCAAACAAAACTATCGAAAGATGTATCGTATGAAAAAGGGGCGTCAAGATGGGGTCTCTCGTCTTAGCATCGGTAGAACTCAAATACGTCAGGTCGAAGATGTAATCAAGTACGAAATCAAGTACGAAATAAATAGCCACAATTCCGTTGAGTGTTACCTCCAGCCACTTAAGGTCGCCTCCAGCGTTCGCCAATGAAATGGGGAAAAATGCTCTGCATACCACGATCGCAGGTGTAAACGTGAGCGCCATCATGATACATCCCTCATGAAGAATCTTGGGTCCGGCCGTCGTTCCACTTGCCAAAGTTAGGATCAGGAGTGCGAGGGCCAACGATATTTCGATACACTTGCAGGCGAATTCCCGGGAGCGCAGGTAAGAAATATCCACACTTGACGTGATCACTTTTTCTTGTGCACTGTACGCTCCGGTAGCTGCTAGGTCATGGCGTTGGCTGTGCTCGCAAGTCTCCTGTTCCTCAGCGGACTCCGTCATCTCTATAGCGAAATTCGCCGAGCGCTGCTCATCTGATGTGCTGTTGTCAGAAATACTTTCATCTCCTCGAAAACTAGAATCGCTTAAAATTTCTTGGAGCTCAGTCTCTTGTTATATCCAATCGCGCTGCCGGAGAGGCAACTAAATGCTCCGCGGTTGATCCTTGGCAACACTTGAATCTTGAATATCTCCCATTTTTAATTGATCTTCGCTTTAGGTTAGGTTAAAAGTTTTCCTCCAATCTTCAGACTGCCGGCGTTTTTCAAGGCAGCTGAACATTCTGCTTATGTATTCATCTGAGTATCAAGGATACTGATGTTTTCTATCGTGATCAATTTGCATAAAATTTATGCGCGATTTTCGGCAGAACTCGATGTCAATAATGATAGAGATGCTAGCTAATTAATATTTGTCATCTAAATGTTCTCAAACTTTGATTTAGTTTATTTTTGATCGTCATTCATGGTGCAAATTCTGGAAATAATCTTGACGAGTAATTTTCTCTAAAGCATTTATCCGGTTGAGTTTATTCCTGTAAAACAATAGCATATTAACCAGGCGTTGCTCGAGAGAGAAAGTCATTGAAATTTGAGAATCCAAATATATTTCTTGAATCTCTAAAATCCCTTTTCTAATTATCAAAAATCTTTCTTGAAGCCATGCAGTTTTGAAATTGAAATCGAAACCTTCAAACGTCAGTATGCAGGTACAAGAAAAGAATGGAAGAAAGTAACTTAGAAATATTTTTTTGGTGTCACATAGGAACCGGCTGATCTAAAAGAAGCCCAAAGAATAATTAAATATTTCATTTGAAAATATATGCTGACGTGTGCGTTCGAACCAAAAAGACCGTAAGCGCATAAGAAATTTAAAGCAAGTGATTTAAAAGAGTGTACATGAGACCAATATGCATTAGTAGTTAAATAAAACTGCTTTGTTGACAGCAACAAAGCCATTTGTAATGATAAAAACAATAAATGGTGTAATTCTCATTTTAGGAACTGACATGTACTGTGTGAAATTAATGGCTTGATATCATAAAATTTAAAACCTGATATTTATATGAACATATTTTATTAACATATATATTTTATTAACATATTTTACAACATATATATTTTATTAAAACCTGATATTTACATATATAGAGGAGAAGCCTTGCCAAATCAACAGAAAGGCCGTCGAAGTCGAGTTGATGAGTTCATGGCTTGAACGCACCAATTTACGAAATTATCAATGTAGCTTCTGAGGTGAAATTTGTAATTTTTATTCTGGCATCGAACAAACTTGATGCCCACGTACTGCATGCAGTGTCCTGATTACTGTAGTTCTGATGGAATTTCCGCGTATTAACGCTGTATACTGCAACAGAATTACTCATTTACGACAAAATTTACTATACTGCACTCATTTACGACAAAATTTACTATACTGCACTCATTTACGACAAAATAATCCAAATTTGAAGGATTAAATGTTCCGCAGCTCAGTACGAGATAATGATTAGCTGAAAATAAACAAGATTTTGATCGCGCCACAAATGGTAACGAACAGGAAGTTTCGACGTAGACATAATGTAAATAATGCGATATTGTTGCTGTGTAATAAATTTTCGAGCAATTAATAATAATTTTGCAGAATGCTTTGGTGATTTATTGAACCCATACTTGTGTATAAGTATTTATGTTCGTGTGATTTAATTTGATGGCCGTTGTCCTTATTTCTTCTGCTTGATCGTTTTATTGCGATTCATAACAGGTATGAATAATTGACATTCTATAAAGATTTTATCGGTACACGATTAGTATTTCTTTAATTATAAAATTCTTTGCACAATTCAAATTTTTACATCGAGGGAAAATTTTGAAATTCATGACCATTTGCGTACTTGATTTTCATCATATAACATCAAAACAGTTACTTAAACACACGGAAAAACGTTATAATTGAAACGACGAGAAAAATCGACAATAACTTCTGCCGGTATAAGCCCTGAAACTTCAATATTTCCGAATTTAGCTGGCAAGAAATTGGATGCCTTGAGATTTTTGAAGATATTTGAGCTTCGGTATTCTCGAACATTGATGCCAACGATCTTTAATAGCTTGAAAAATGTTAACATCTAACATTGAAGACCCAAAATACAACAAGTTCAAAATTGTCGCATCATAACGCAGGCTAAAGTGAACTGGAATTGGAATTTGGGTGCGTGCTGATTAATTTCCGGTTTGAATTATTATTTTAATTATTATTTTATTATTTTTTAATTATTAATTTCCGGTTTGAATTTCCGGATTAATTTCCGGTCAAGACCTTTGGATTGGTCATTCACGCTGCCAAAAAATCTTTTATCAGCGTAAAACTTTTAAAGTTCACATCGCACTCGGCAGTTAACAAAAAGGTCAATTAATAAGTATTCACTTAACAACTGAAAAGAGGAAAGACGTACACTGGCGTGTCGATGTGAATATACAATTGTGCATGGCATACAGTGTGTAAGAGTCAAATACGATGAATATTGCAGTAAACAATACAGAAAAATTCACCTTGAAATGCAAGGTACCTGTTTTTACGATCAATGCAAAAATATGAATAATATTATACGAAAATCTGTTAGGTAAGAAAAATTTTCGGCAGATATTGATGGTAACAATCTACCTGAATGCAAAAGTACTTCAAAACAGTTTTATAAACCATGAACGAGTTCATAGAAACCTGCCAATAAATGTACCACTAAGCTATTTTATTAGATAGCTATTCAAGTATTCGTTCATTTTTCATCTCTTAATTAGTTTCAAATAATTTTTATTGCACGTGTAGGCCGTGTGATAAAAATTGTTTACTTATTTATTAATAAACATGAGAACAACTTTGCCTATGCTAAGCTATGGCGCATAAAATAAATATAGTTTTTTTCATTATGGATCAAAATAGAAAGTCTAAGGGAACCATACGCCAAGTCTGGCCTGTCACCGATTCTAGACATCGCAGAATTCTTACAGTTAGCTGGGAATTCGATTCCGAAACTCAATGCTTGGATCCTAGCTGCTGCTGTCAAGCACCCGACCACCTCGCCGATTAGACCAGAACTGTCACAGAAAGCCGGAATCGAACCCGCAACTCACTGCTCTAATCTTGCAACTTTGAACTGGACCTACCAGTCCCGTGTTATTACATAAGCCTGGAATTTTATTTGCTATGGTTGGGCATTGAAGGCTTAAGATAAAAATGTAAGACCCCAAATTAAGTTTATAATTGAAACTAAACCCAAACGATAATATACTCTGACTTATTTTTAGGCAAACTAAAAATTTAAAATTCGAACGCGACTTTAATGGAATACTTACAGTAGCTTAATCAATGAGTTTTCTTTCATTGACTGTAATTCAGGTTTATAATTATGAATAGAAAACGATTTAATTTAATTATTTCATTCTTGTTCTTGCTTTCGACGTTGATTACCTAATATATTTTTAATTATTTATTATTTGCATATTTTGTTTAACGGATGCAATATACTGAAACAACATACGACATTCCATCAACATTTTTATTTTGTCTTCAAGTCGAGTCTTGCATACTATGTCGTCGTGACTAGTTTGCTGCCAGCAAATAAGTTGAATTAGATGAAAACCTAATTATTAAAGTCATAGTTGAAAATTTTATGAAAATAAAAATGAACTTACCAATTTCCTGCTTCCTCATTTCCTTCAATATACTCTTCATTTCTTCTATTCTTCCATTCCCCATTTCCTCATTTCCTCCTGCAGGTCATATATATTTTAGTTCGATGCAAAAAATATGAGCGGTCATTCATCTTGTATTCATGAGCTAATAAGTCAAAACCGGAATAATGCACAGTAATATAATATAATATAATATATTGCTATAATATATAATATATAATATAGCCACTCTGTGAGCCGGTAATGGTTTTCCTTCATCAAGAAATCAAAAGTAACGTCTTATATATTCGGAAGCATATATTTGGTTTGGATCGCTGCATGATGGTACAAAATTGTCGTTCCGTCGTCTTAAGATTCTATACTCCCCTTCTTATTTCATTTTACACAAATATTCTTTACAGTTGGAAACTCAACGAAGAACGCAACGCATTTCTGAATTGAATTGTACCGTTTTTTTGAAACATACCGAAAAAAATAAACATGCCATCTCTCTGCAAAAAAATCCGTCTCTCTGCAAAAATTTTTTAAACATGCCACCTCTCTGCAAAAAATGGCAACTGCTCATCGACTTTAAAATTTTGCACTTAATTTGGGGTCCTAAATTTTTAAATCTTGACCCTTCACTTAAGTAACTGCTTGAAATGATAATAATAAACGATAATAAGTAAGGTGTACTTTGTTTGACCAAGCAACTGTAATTCCTAGCGCGCTCACTTCAGGCAGGATTGAGGGTACGGACAACTTTCGTCCCGCCTCCATCCGTCTCCTAGGACTGAAACATTGAAGCTTTCAGCATTTTATCTTAGACAAAACATCAGCAATGGCAAGTGGATATTTATAATTAATATATTTGACAATTTTTCTGATTCCCCATTGTACTCCTTCAACCTCACAATGCATACACATGGCTTGTCCCTTCAGAAAATTTTCCTAACAAAATTTAGGGTCGCCCCAGCTTCTGGTAAACCAAATCAGAAGCTGCTGAGTCTCTTAATTTTTACTGGGTTCGGGTTAATGAGCTCGACGTCTTCATACACGCACAATTTATATGATGCATTTTAGCGAAAACTTGCACTCCGAAGAATTCAATGCAATAATTTACATTCTACAAAGACTGTGTAGCTAACTAAAACGATTCCTATACGGAATAATTTCTTGGTAAAATTGAGCTTAACCTTGGACTCCATCTTCTACTCATTGCCAACTTTTACAACATTTAATTAAGGAAATAAAACAATTTTTCTCTCTGATATACAGAACACCTTTTCTGATTTAAATGTGTAATTCGGGTTGAAAAAATTATATTCCTCCATTATGACCGCGTGTGCAGCGCGCAGGATAATTCATTTATTTATATGATTCTATTTTATCAAACGCAGTTATAATATGAATATAACTGATGAATGAGGATAATTTATAAACAAAGAGATCTTCTGCGGAGTGCATGGTGTTTCAAAAAAGATTTCTATTTTAGTAATAATTATAATAATAATAATAATAGTAGTAATGATAATAATATTAATAATACTAATAATAATGGTTGATATTATTAATAATAACAATATCAATAATAACATATACATACCAGATCCATGGATTACTTCTCAAGCAACGCAAAACTGTCAAAACTTTTGAAAACGGTGTATATTTAGCCTTGTTTTGATATTTATTTGCAATAATTCGAAAAGACTTAGATTCACGCTTTGGCAAGTCACGGAAGCAGATACATTTTCTTTCTGAAATGTGGATGCATATTGGTGCGGAACATTCCAAAGGTTGTACGAAGGAGGTTAGAGGAATAAATGTTTCATCTACTGTCTTGAGAATAGACACGTATAGAAAATCCTCGATAGTTTCTTGCAGCAAGGGAAAAAATAATTATTCCTGATTTCTTAGATGACTAAGACATTCTTTGAATGAAAATGAGTAGATTTATGCAACTTGCCGCGGAATAGAATTTAGTGATTTCATGTGTTTAGTACATTCGTCCCTCTGCTTCTACCATTTACAAACCTTCAATCTAGGTAATTAAATTTTCGTTTTCATGCCTATTCTATTTTATTCCATATATATAGACAGCATAAGATATTCGTGTATGGTAAAAAATCATATCATACATGCAAACCTTCGTTCAACCATGGATGCAAATAATATAATCGATCAACTATTAAACTTATATTGCCACGATCTTTCCTTCCATGGAAGATGATTTAGAGACATAACTCTAAAAAAAAATATCTTACGCTAGAAATTTTGAGAACTTTTGCAATTAAAATAATAATAATAATAATTTACTGAATTCTTAATTTCAGTAGCTAGTGTTCTGAAGACCCGAACACTTCTAAGCGAAGGCTAGTAGTATTATAATCTATAACAGGATATAAAAAGTATCAAACATAAAACACCGTCTAGCCTCTTTTAAGAACATATGTAGTTATCAGTCCTAAACATCCGTTACGACAAACGAAGCATCCGGTGTGCGCTTGTCAATGGCATCCATCAGTCACAGAAGTGAACTTGTTCTATGTGCTCCTGCCGGGCGCAATTACGAATTTGTTTCAAATATCATATATAATACAAATATTATTCCTAGTAAAGTCATTAATAGCCCAGCGAGCGCTAATTCTCTATCGCTCCATCTGTAACTCTAGCCTCAGAAAGCTCGTAACAATTTTGCTCGACCTAATAATTCAAGTTATTTATCGTTTTGACTGACATGGCTCATGAATCGATTTGTGAAGAGGTTGTGTCGATTGGTATCCATCTTAAATAGAATCATTTTATAAGAGTCTGTTCGTAGCTAATAATTACCCAACAAATGCGTTTAATTAATCACCTGAATACTGAAAAAGATTTGTTCAAAAATCGCAACCCAGATGGAAACAGCAGCTTTTATGTCAGTCCACAAGTGATAAGCTTACTGACTGGACAACACAGAGTTCAATCTCATCATTCACTTAAAGGTTTCTTTCGAAGGCAGCCTAGCTATTTTGCCACGAAGCGGTTTGCAGGAAAAGTAATATTAGTAAAAAATATGATGAAATTAATCTGATACAAGAGTAGCTCGTTCTGGTCGGTCACACCAAAAACAATGGACTCTTACTACAATAGAAAGTCCGGCGGATTGAGAGGGTAAGTTCAACATACGATGTTTTGAATAATATAAACTAATAATATAGTATAGTAATGATAAAATTATTAGGCCATTCTGACTTGTCGCCAATTTTCAATCACAATCGGAGCGTAACCATTGGCCACAAATTTAACTCTTAAATTTGCCCTGGAGGCAATGCTTAGCGTAAACATACACAGCTACACTTCGCCTCAGAGTTACGATGCCACAATACTCGCTAGAAACACGGCAAGCCACATTAATTCCAAAATAACTTATTAAAACCATAGCGCCCCATAGCGGCAGCCTGTCCTCAGGTCAGTATTGTACGGAAGCTACACCCCAGCATGCATCTACCTCTACACTTACCCCGCCTCTTCCCCTTACTGAAGCCAGTTTTAGGTTAGGTGCGGAGTCGGGGTAAGTGTGGAGGTAGGAGCATTCTGGAGTGTAGCCTCCATGAAGACTGCTTTGACATGAGCAGTGGCTGTGGAATTACAGTGCTATGGGTTTAAGTAGTTAACTTTATACACTACACTATGTACCTACAGATTTTTGCGAATTTTGGCCAGAACTATCACAACTACTTGCAGGTTTCGAATTCCCTGAGCTCGCTACATCAATTTTGCTTTTAGCCACTCGGCCACCCCTAGCTAACTACTGTAGCGAGTGTTGATTGAGAGCAATAGCAATAGTATTTTCCCATCCACTTCAACATAATTTTAAACGTGTTATTATTGATTTTGCAATATAAATAAGTTGATTAAAACCACGCACATTATAAATTAGCAAAATGATATCATGATTAGGTGTTGTTAGCAAAGACATCAGCGATGATTGAAATCATTGTACCGCTAACCTTGTCAAGTTGTCACCTGCCTGGCTGCCATACATGTTGTTTTTTTTAACTTCATTTGTGCATCAATTCGCATCGTATAATATATGCGAGAAGATGTGAACAATGCTTAAAATTTGCTGCAGCAAGAGTCTCCCTATGTATGCATTTTTCATATCAATGTCACCTTGGGTATATATTTTCTTCCACAAATGTAACATTGGTTACACATTTTTTTTTGTTAAAATGTAACCTTTGGTGCTGATTTTAATACTATACAAATGTCACCTTGGGTGCGCATTTTAATACCACAAAAATTAAAAAATATTATTACAAATGTATAACGCATTTAAATATTACAAATGTCAACTTGGGGAAACGTTTTAAACTTTCTAGTACACGTTTGGTTGTGGCAGGTTCGGTGGGGGCCGCAAAGCGTCGCTGGCGTCGTTCGGGCCGCTCTCGCCCGTGGCGGAAGACCGCGAGACGTTCACATACGACGAGGCGATCATCGATGCGCAGCTCGACAAAGCCCTTAGCGCCATCGTCGTCGACGACGTCAACAGTGTCAGTATTCAGACGTATTTTAATTAAAGTGCATTTCATCGCGTAATTGTAATATTTTCGATAATTTATTTTAAAAAAACAAGCGATTTATTTTCTGGTCAATATTGATAATATATTTCTGACAAGTGAAATTTTGTACTGTCGGGCTAGAAATTAAATCGTAAAAATTTAATGGGTGGCTTCGCATTATAGATATTAAATTATTTGTAAACTGATTTGTACTTGGTAAAAATCCGTATGTTACATCAAATTTTGTTAATATTTCTTTTTTATTGAGTTTGGCCGACTTCTTGTTTTTTGACTAGATAAACGCATACAAAGTTGTTGGATAAAAAAATTTTCAAATGTTCATCTTCAATCGAAAATAATAAACTTACAGTGCAGTGGAATGCATGCAGATATATACTCTCTTTTTACATCACACTAGCTTACGAGAATTATCACCTTACAAATTTAATTGCTAGTGCGTACGTTCAGTTAATTAATATTACCATAATTTTAATGGAATTAGTAAAGTATAGTATAGTATAGTATAGTATAGTATAGTATAGTATAGTATAGCATAGAATAGTATAGTATAGTATAGTATAGTATAGTATAGTATAGTAATCATATCATATCATATCATATCATATCATATCATATCATATCATATCAATAATATCTTCGGCATTGAAGAATAGGCCTGGATAGGCCTGTCGCCGATTCTTATATTTTTCTTGACTAGACTGGCCTTTTGATCAAATCTTTTCAACGGACGGTTGGTTTAAAATCGTTTCTAGATTTCATTTGTTCCGTAGGATACGAATTAAAATAATTTGTATCAATAAAATGATCCGCTTATAGAATAATTCATGCACGTGGAGCCCACCAGCCAATTGACGTTGCTACAACTTTTAATTAACGCTGATTAAACGAAACAAATATTAATCAATGTTGATTCAACGAAACAATGATTAGTTAACGTTGATCAACAAAACAATTATTAATCAGCGTTGATTCAACGAAACAACTCTTAATTAAAGTTGTACAGCGAAATAATATTAATCAACGTTGAATCAAGAAAACAACTTTCAATAAACCTTGATCAATGAAACACTTATTAATCAACATTTAGTCAACAAAACAATCATCAATTAAAGTTCATTCTACAAAACAACTTTAAATTAACGTTGATCCAATGAAACAATGAATAATTAACGTTGATTCATTGAAGGAATTGTAATTTTGAAGTTTATTAAACGCCTGGTGTCTGTGGGAAGTGACATTTACTTGAGATTTGACACAGTATTCCTGCACTCAAAGAACTGAGCGACACTTTGTCCAAATAACAATGCATATTTTGCTCTTCTGTGGACCATCCTGACCTAGTTTGGCACCGATAAATTGCGTACCAGTCATACCTTAGTGAAGTGGGTAAGGAATTGAGTCACTATCGAACATTTTACTCATTCATTTAGCTGAGTATGGTGTTAAGTGAGTCATAATTAAGACATTAATTTTATGTGTGTGGTATTGAGTGAGTCATAATTAAGACATTAATTTTATGTGTGTGACATTAATTTAATTTTAAATTAGTTACACACATAATTTTATGTGTGTGACAGTAATTTAAGACATTAATTTTATGTGAGTGAGTCATAATTAAGACATTAATTTTTATGATTATAGATTACTTGGTTTCTCTGCACGGCTCCCTGTAGTTGGTGACGCTTGGTGCACTTGAGATGAAATGATATCAGCTGCTGTGGGTCGGTGCATGCAAATGAGTCCGGATGACTCACTTAATAGAGTGCATCGCAATTTCGACGAGCACTTGACTCACTTAGGCGACCCATCCTTCTTGATTGATTTGTTAAGCAAAAATATTATGTCCATCTTTATGTTAAGAATTCTATTCATAACGGTTATTAGAGAGACTAATCTTAAGCTTAATTTTATGATTTTGTTTCTGATTTTGATATTTCGTGACGCATTCATTCATTAAGTTATTATTTCGTGATGCATCCATTCATTAAGTCATTATTTCGTGATGAATTCATTCATTAAGTTATATTGTGATACATTCATTCATTAAGTTATCATTTCGTGATGCATTCATTCATTAAGTCATTATTTCATGTTTGCATCCATTCATTAAGTCATTATTTCGCGATGCATTCATTCACTAAGTCATTATTTCGTGATGCATACATTCATTAAGTCATTATTTCATGTTTGCATCCATTCATTAAGTCATTATTTCGCGATGCATCCATTCATTAAGTCATTATTTCGTTATACATCCATTCATTAAGTCATTATTTCGTTATACATCCATTCCTTAAGTCATCATTTCGTGATGCATACATTCATTAAGTCATTATTTCATGTTTGCATCCATTCATTAAGTCATTATTTCGCGGTGCATTCATTCACTAAGTCATTATTTCGTGATGCATTCATTCATTAAGTCATTATTTCATGTTGCATCCATACATTAAGTCATTATTTCATGATGCATCCATTCATTAAGTCGTTATTTTTTAATGCATTCGTTAAAAATACCTCAAATTCAGCATCAGTTAAGTTAAAGTGTTGCTGTCTAGCATTAGTTTATTGCTTTCTAATTGATTATCACAAAATTACATCATTCAAAGTTTGTGCTCAGATGATATAAATACACTTCAATGAATTCAATTCGAAAGCATATATAGTGTCATAAGACTTATCTCTATCCCCTGTTATAACAATCAATAAATTAAAACGTCTTCCTTACATCGCGTTATGTTATGTTATGTTATGTTATGTTATGTTATTTTATGTTATGTTATGTTATGTTATGTTATGTTATGTTATGTTATGTTATGTTATGTTTGATATTATATCAGCTGCAGTGTGTCGGTGCATGAAAATGACTCACTTAATCGAGTGCATCGCAATTTCGACGAGCACTTGACTCACCCAGGCGACCCATCTTCTTGATTGATTTGTTAAGCAAAAATATTTATGTCCATCTCTATGTTAAGAATTCTATTCTTAACGTATATTATAGGGACTGAATTTAAAGCTTGATGTTATAATTTTGTTTCCGATTTTAATATTTCGCTAGCGTAGAGCAATTATTGCGTGATGCATTCATTAAAAAATGTCATAAAATGTTGAAATTTAGCACCAGGTAAGTTGAAAGTTTGCTATCTAGCATTAGTTTATTGTCATGTAATTGATAAATAAAAAATTACACCATTCAAAGTTTGTGCTCAGACGATGTAAATACATTTTCGTGAATTTATTTTGAAAGGATATATAGACTCATTAGACTTGTCTCTATCTAGCAATATATATAACAATCAATAAATTAAAACGTCTTCCAGACATGGCAGCGCTTCAGTATCTAGAACAAACTAGATAAATCTATGCATAGGTATTCATTTCGACTAGATGGATGTTATGTTATGTTAGTATGTGTTAGTGTTAGTGTTAGTATTAGTGTTAGTGTTGTGTTATGTTATGTTATATTATGTTATGTTATGTTATGTTATGTTATGTTATGTTATGATATATTATGTTATGTTATGTTATGTTATGTTATGTTATGTTATGTTGTGATATATTATGTTATGTTATGTCATGCTATGTTATGTTTCGTTATGTCATGCTATGTCATGCTATGTTATGCTATGTTATGTTATGTCATGCTATGTCATGCTATGTTATGCTATGTTATGTTATGTTATGCTATGTTATGTTATGTTATCCTCAAATTCTTCGCGGTTGCCCAGCTCTTGGCCACGCTCTCGAACGGTCTTGACGTGACGTCATTGTACGACATCGTGTCGCACGCCTCTGTCCTGCCTGACGTGTCCCAGCTGAAGCCTGGCTGTGGACTCAGGACTTCTTTGGCCGTTGGTTTGAGGACTTCTGCTGGCGCTGGCGGTGGGTTGAGGACTTCTGCTGGCGCTGGCGGTGGGTTGAGGACTTCTGCTGGCGCTGGCGGTGGGTTGAGGACTTCTTCAGGAGGTGGTGGGCTGCGAACTTCATCTTCAGCGTACAGCTTGGCGAGCAATGCAGATTCTCGCGACACCTTGATGGATTCTGGCGTTAGGTTCTTATAATAATTAACTTTAATACCTTATAATTGGCTATGCCTTTATTCGAATATTCAATAGCCGTCTTTGATTTTGTAGCAGAGCATTTGATTCTCATGAACTACATTTGGGCCACGTACCTTATTTCAAGTTGGTCATGATCTATAAATGAGTCATTAACAAGTGGGTTATGAATCACAAGCGTGTCATGACTTACAAGGGAGTCATGACTTACAAGTGGATCATAATTTTTCCGCAGTTGATATGTCGTTGGGAGGGAGGTAAATAATTTAAAGTAAGACTTACATTAGTACCTTGGTAAGTATAACTGATGAGTATATACACTGTGTATATGTAAAATAATATAAAGTCATTAGTTCTCGAATAAATAGTAGGTAATGATTGAAGTAATTTAAATGCTCCATAACATGTGTATTAGTTTGTAGCGGCCTAAAATGAAGAAAAAATAACAAAATTAGGATAAGCTTAATTCCCCACTAGATTACAAGAAAAACTTCAGCTTGAAATTCCCACCGCATTACCAGAATAACATTAACATTCTCACCGGAATACCAGAATATGTTTAACAGAGGATTCCCACCGGAGTATATGTACTGCTCAACATTATTCACCGGAATACGTACGAACACAGTTCTCTCCCGAATACAAGAACAATTTCAGCATAAATTTCATTTCCGAACAGAATGGGGAAAAAATGAAATTATTTCCAGCATACCAGTTGAATTTGCTGCCCTATTTTAAATATCATAATATTAACTTAATCATTCGATATTAACACAAGCCAATATTTGCTATCAAAATATATTAATCACTTATATGGTCGTATTAAATGCTAAACTTTTGCAACAATTCGATTTAAACAGTACCCCGTTGTTGTTTAATAATGATATATAAAATGACATATGTATAAAATGATATATAACTTCATACCAGCGACGTGATGTCTGTGAGTTACGCGTCCTTGTCGCGGGCGGTACGGGGCGAGGTCGCTGGCAGGACCACGTGCGCCCTGGGACCACTTGTGCGCGCGACGCTCCTGCACGTCGCAAGCGTACATAACGCGCTCAAATGTGCCAAGTTTCTTGTACATCTCGGGGCCTCCCTGGACGGTCAGTAGACGTGTGGTTGACAGCAAGGAAAAGTTGATGTTATAGCGAGTATCTTGTTGTATAGTTCGAAACATACATATATATTTTACATATTTTTCAGAAAATTATTTCATAATCTCAATATTTCTCAAAATATCGAGGTAATGATTGTCATGAAAGAGTTAGATAATGAATGATGTAATAATGAGTATCTTTCAACATATTTTTTAATATATTTCGTATGTATTATAAAATGTACATATTTTTCGTTATAATTGGTTAGGCAATATTTAAACAATTCAGTATTTCTTTTAATATCGAAGTAATGACCACTATAATATAATTTCAAAGTTCATAATAGGTATCAATACATTAATTAATATTAAATTTAGGAATTAGATTAAATGAGGGTTTTATTTAAAAGAGGAAATTAATTCATTTGAATGAAACAGTAGAGTATAACAGTCATGTAATGTTCAAAAATTAAACATTTTCAATCCTTCTTAACTTAAAAGAAATATGTGGTTGCAAATAAAATTTGAATGAAGCATCTAAGCTTACATCATTTCAACGAATTAAACTCGATCGCGAATTGAAATTCACGATATTTGATATTTATCATATTTCATAATATATGATTTATTTATTTATTATATATTTATTTTATTTATTTTTTTATTTAGGTATTATTTAATTAATTAATTAAAAAATTTAATTATTTATGTATTATTTAATTAATTAATTAATGTATTTATTTATTTATCTATTATATTATTATTTATTTATATAATATATAATTGATGATATATTGAAACATGTGCTATATGACTATTTATTTATTATACTACTTTTAATTTGTTTAATATATAATTGAAGATATATTGAAATACGTGATATATGACGGCAGCGCAGGAGTATATTATATTATTACTAATTTATTTAATTTATTATTGATAATACATTAGAAACATGTGCTATATGACTATTAATTTATATAATTTATAATTGATGATATATTGAAACATATGCTATATGACTATTTATTTATTATATTATATTACTATTAATTTTTAGCTTAAAATATTCTCTAGCGCATTTCCGAATAAAATTCACTTTCATATGAATTAACTTCAGTGTCAAATAATATGAATAAAATAATTTCATTTTTCATTTCATGATGAAACGAAAGTTTCTACAACTTAAATAAATGTGTATTATTCAAACATTTTACAATAGGACAGAACCGGTTAATTTATGGCCGAGTATATATATTAAGCATGCAGTCGAACTTGGCTGATAAATAGAAAGGGAAGAAAGTTTCAACTATAGTGCGGAAAAAACTGATTTCATACACGAAGTAATTGAATTTTGACATTAATGAAGAAACAGTCAAAAAAGTGCCAGTGTGTGTAAAATGCGAATAAGATAACATAATAAGAAGAACAATTGTGTTAAAATATATTAAAAGTGCATCTATATAGGCACTAACAATGTACTGTTTTAACACTGAGCGTTGCTGTCACCACAAAATATTTCAATAGGTTATAGAATTATTTCTTGAATTTCCAGCCCCGAGTTACTCTATATCTGCTCCTTGTTCAGCAGCGGTAGCGTAAAAATAATCATTATTACCGGCCAATAATTTGGTTACTGCTCACGGTAATTTAGTTGCAGCTCACGGTAATTTGGTTACAGCTCACGGTAATTTACAATGTTTCTATCTGCGGAACACGACACAAGAGAGGTAACAGCCCCAGGCCACGCTGCCTCCAAGAAATGAGCACAAAACGCTTCTTGGAATTTGGTGTAAAAACATGCATGCTTCAGCACACGCTTACGCATAGACATGGCAATGTTATGCAGGGCATGAAATATGCATATAAAATATGAATTATCTACTTGAACTAAACAAATTAGTAGTAGTTACTAACACTTCATTTATATTATTACCAGCAAAATTATTATCATCATAGTAATTATTTTTAAAATACAGAAAATAATGAATAACTATTGTAAAGTTGGCTTATTCGAGTATCGATTGCTCGACAGAATGAATTATGAGTTTTTAAAACCAGATCGATAAGTAATATTTAACAATTATTTATTAATTAATTAGTTAAAGTATATTGACAAGTACATGACATGTATAGTTTTACATTTATGACACGTATAGTGTTGTATTTATGACAAGTAGAGACTGTATTTAGACTGTATTTATGACATGTATAGTGCTGTATTTATGACACTTATAGTGTTGTATTTATGACACTTATAGTGCTGTATTTATGACACGTACAGTGCTGTATTTATGACACGTATAGTGCTGTATATATGACACGTATAGTGCTGTATTTATGACACTTATAGTGCTGTATTTATGACACGTACAGTTTCGAGTTTCGATTGCTCGACAGAATAAATTGAGAGAGACTTTAACAAAAAAGACAAACCAAACCAATCTGGTTTTAAAGAGTCTTTAAAACCAGATCGAAAAGTATTATGTAAGAATTTTATATAAATTAATTAATTAAAGTATATTGACACGTACATGGCACTCATAGTCGTGTATTTATCCTTTTGATATCATGCTGAAATACTGTAAAAAATGGCAAATTTTATAAGAGAAATTAAGACTTAGCCAATTTTCACATAAACTCTATCAGCCGTTTCACTTTTATTTTTATGAATGATGTGCATGAAAATAAATCCATTGACATTCATACAGATTGAGTTTATGATATCTGGGCGAAACTGTTCGATTGATTTCTAAACATATGCTGTTATGATAAAAAAATATTCAATAATTTTTTTTGTAAACCGACATGTGGGACAGCCTCCCCGATGACATCGTTGGCGCTCCAAGTATGAACGCGACTAGATAAAGCTATGGAAAAATATATGTTCAGACTTGAAATGCCTAGCTCCATATCGAACCCGGTGGAAGTCTAGTAGCTACTTCAAACTATCGCCAGTCATGAAAAGATCCAGGCAAGTGACACGAGTTTAGATCTGTGAACAAGGCACGAAAAGGAAAAATCGGCGACAGGCCACATCAGGCCTACACTTCAGCGCCGAGATCAATATGTTATGTTATGTTAATTATAACTTTGGAAAATAAAGTTTGTAATAAAAAGTTTTTAGTAACGAATTTTAAATTAGAATAGAAGTGTGGGCACTGAAGAAATAGGCCCATGGCCTGTTGTTTTAATTACAAATTACAAAGTTTTAAGCTGTAATTTTTTTAAAAGCATAATTTTTTAACAAACTGAGATTATGAATGAACATTACTCTAATGTGCTTCCTTAGTTGGGAAATACTTGACTTATACACGATGTATTTCGGGTAGACTATTTCAATTTAATGTGACTGAAATTCCTTAAAAATACTTTGACAAATTGCCAATAGAACAGTGATTATGACATATAATTTGAAATTGTACTCGTATAAATGTCTGCATTTATTACAGTAAAAAAGTGTTTTATATATCAGAGACTTGACGATTTTTAAAATGTTGCCAGGTAGAATTTAAAATTGTATAAATGTCTGCATTATTGAAAATATAAACAATTACTTTATATATCACAAACTTAGACGATCTCGAAATTATTGCCAGGCCTTCAACGTCCGCCAGGATTCCGCCCTCCACGTGGCCGCCAGCGGAGGACACGTGGACGTCCTCCTCTGCCTCCTGGACCACCGCGCCAACCTCATGGCCAGGAACAGGTGTGGCCATCTAGCGGACAACTTTGACTGTTAGCGTGACGCTGGTGTGGCCACCTAGCGGACAACTGTGACTGTTAGCGTGATGCTGGTGTGGCCATCTAGCGGACAACTGTGACTGTTAGCGTGACGCTGGTGTGGCCATCTAGCGGACAACTGTGACTGTTAGCGTGATGCTGGTGTGGCTACCTAGCGGACAACTGTGACTGTTAGCGTGACGCTTTTGTTATTTTATTTTTAATTATTAAGCCATTCTCAAGTTCAGTTGCCCTCCAATTAGCCTAAAACTACATTACTTTAAATGATCGTATATGATATTTTATTTATACGAATAATTATTCCATCTCCGTTTACTCACAGTTTTTACCGTATGATAGGTTATTTGACGAACTTCTTTACCGTATGATTGATTAATTAACGACTCTTTTTATCGTTTAACTGCGCAATTATTAATGAATTCACTTATTCTTTGGTTTTTTATTTCAAATCTTCATCTAAGCATCAACTTTTTTAATAATTAGTCGTTTTATTTCTAATGTGAATTAGTTAGTGCTTTTATTTCTAATTAATTATTTATTTACATTAGTTTTATTCAAATGAATTAGATATTTAAATCAGTTTTATTTCTAAGTAATAATTCTAATTAAGGTACGGCGCGACGCCGTGGGACGCAGCGCAGGAGAGCGGCACAGCAAACGCTAGGATCTGTGCTGACATCCTGTACACCCG